CCTTAGTGATGGGGTTTGCCTTTTTAAGAACTTTCCATTTTTTCATTAAGTACTCTCCTATGGTAGCACTAATTTAGAATCCATCTTTCCCCTCCCCTCACACCAAGATCATTCGTGATTATATAGTGAAAATTATTGGGATTTTTGCATTCAAATTTTAAATTTTTCTTAAAATTTCATACTTGAGTACTCATCATTCTCACCCCTTCCTCTCCCCCTCCTCTTGCTGTGTCCCTCACTCCCTCTCATACGTGTTTGTGTGTGTGTTACATATATACATACATACGTACATATCAAGCTACTGGGCTCATTTAGTGTTGCTCTTATGTACATGTATTTAGGGCTGACCACTTGGAATTGGATCATTGGCCTTTTTTGTTTGCTTGCTTTTTCATTTATTTTATTTTATTTTGTATGTTTTGGGAGGGGTGGCAGATGCATGCCATGGCACATGTGTGGAGAACAGAGGAGAGCTTTTGGGAGTTGGTTCTCTCCTACCATGTATGTCCCAGGGATTGAACTTAGGTTGTCAATTTGTCAGCATCTGTTTTACCCACTGAGTCATCTCTTAGGCCTCTCTGTTCTTGCTTTTAAAGAACTGCATTCTTACAAATATATATAATCTGAACTTTTGGCAGTGAGCTGTCATTCAGATCTGGTCTTGATGGCTCCCTGTGCTTAACATCTTAGTCTGCAGACTCTTGAGGAATATGGTGATTTTCTTCCAAAATTATCAGCTGGTTTGTCTCTGCTCATCAGAATTGAGTCCAGAACATCAGCTCTCCGTTTTGCTTTCTGTTCTTTGAGAAAGGAGGCGTTGCTGGCTGACCGGTGTGTTGTAGCCTTGCTGGATGTACCTCCTGGATGTGCCTCCTTTCCCAGCAAGTACTGGAGACTGCCATCTCCAGCCCCGACTTCCTGTTCCTGTTCAGGGGCACCTGTGTAGCACTAGGCTATCTATAGGAAAATGTGGTCTCTGTCTTTGTTTCTCTCCTGCTTTATTATAGGATAATTTGCTTTTTCTCGTCTCTTTTGTTTTTAATTTACTTTTTCTGTTTTTCTTTTTTTTCTTTTTTTGAGACACAGTCTTCCTGTAGCCCCAGCTGGCCTAGAACTTGTTATGTAGACCAGGATGGCCTCAGTTTCACAGAGGTCTATCTGCTTGCCTCTGCTTCCCTAGTGATAGGATTAAAGACATGTGCCATCATGCCCAGTTTTTTATTGCTTTTGTTTTTAATTTTCTATTTATCTTAAAATTCTTTACAATAATTGATTCAACATATTTTTTAAAAATGTTACTACATTATTTCTTTATTATGTATGTGTTTATGGGTATGTGGGCACATACATGCCATGGTATATGTATGGAGGTGAGAGGACGATTTAAGAAAATTGATTTTCTCTTTTCAACATGTCTGTCCTTGGGATTGAACTCAGGTCTTCAGGGTTTGTGGCAAGCGCTTTTACCTGCTGAACTATCTTGCTGACCTCTCAACATAAAGTAAAATTAAAAAAAAAAAAATATGCGTGCATGTGTGTGTTTGTGGTGTGTTACTCATGTTTGTGTAGGTACATTTGCCTGCTAAGGCCAGAGGAGGGTACCAGCTGTCCTTTTCTGTTGCTTCACTTTATTCCCTTGAGACAGTATCTCTTCCCCCCCGCCCCGAACCTGGAGCTAACCAGTTTTTGGCTAAGCTGGTGATCAGCAAGCCCCAGTGATCTTCCCGTCTTGTGTGTCCCATATGTCCTCCCTCTTAACGGCTCCCCCACCCTCAGCACTGGGAATACAGATGTTTGTGGACTGGCTTTTTATATGGGTGCTGGGGATCAAACTCAGGTCCTTGTGCACTCTTAGCCACTGAACCATCTCCTTAGCCAGTTAAGACCATTAGTCTTAGTAAGTACTAAAAATGTATGTTAAATTCTTATATTCCTATTCAGGACAAAAAGCTTTTGTCTCCAAAGGTGATGCTGTATATAAATGTACTTTAGCTCTTGAAAGAAAGGGGACATTTTGACACTGTATATTTAATAGTTTGCTTAACATATTGGGTGTTTTGCCTTAATTTGAACTTCTTTTTGAAATCTGAAATTGTATTTTTCTTAAAATAGACTGATAGAAATAATGAAACAGCCTCCAGCCTCTACATAGGAAGATCAGAAAACAAGTTCTTGAAGTCATCTTACAGTCAGATACACATTGGCACAGGCGTCAGGTTCGATGGTTCTCTGGGGACTAATGGCTGTGATTTGTTACAGCAGAAGGATAGGAAGCAGTACCAGCAAGAGGAAAGGGGCTAGACAGGAGAGGCTGGAGGGAACCAGCTCCAAGTTTCCAAGAATCCCTACTTATGTTTCATTTTAAAATTCTCTGTGTGTGTTGTGCATGCACAGAAGAGTGGTTGTGGTTGTAGTTGTGTGTGCCTGTGCCCATGTATATGGAGGCCAGAGCAGGATATTGGGTGTCGTCTTCTATTCTTCTCTGATGACCCTGAGACAGGGTCTCTTACTGAGCCAAAAGCTCATTGTTTTAGCCAGGTTGGCTGGCCAGCAGGCTCTTGGGGTGATTCTTTCTGTGCCCCCCCCCCATGCTAGGGTTATAGGCACATGTAGCCATGCATGGCTTTTTATGTGAGTGCTGAAAATTCAAACTAAGGTCCTCATGCTTGCAGAGCTAGCACTTTTCCCACTGTGCCGTCTCCCTGGCTGGTGGCATCAAATGGCATGGTCAGTTGTTTCAGCCTTAGTGAAAACAACACAGGTAAAATGTTTTCTACTGGAGAGCTTATTAGTCAGTGCAGGTCACATAGGCTCCCTATATCTAACCCATCCCCAGATTGCAGGCCCCCAGAGAGCGGGTATTCAGCTTAAATGAGCTCACCAGCTCTGGAAAGGGTGTGAGCTGTCCCCAGATCCCAGTGTCTAGGTGCTAGTACCACCAGTCTTGGAAAATTTGAAAATACCTGATTTAAGGATGGAGAGCACAGGCGTCTCAGGTTAATTTCTTTCTGCTCAAGACCCTAGAATGTTCCCATGGAAAATTCAGGGAAGAGATAGAGTCAAGTTGCTTCTAGGTCTCTGGACAGTTTGGCTTGGTTTATTCATATAGATCATAGTGCCAACTTCTGAAATTGGGAAGTACACAAGGATGGCTGACTGCCCCTTCAGTCATTGGAGCCCCACACCGCTCTATAGGAGGCAGCTGCTTCACTGCCCCCTGAGCCCGCAGCCTGTCCTTCTGCTTCAGCATCAGAACTCATCTACTTGTGTGACAGAAGTGAAGGGCTCTAAGAAAGTAGCCAGAAAATAGAACATGTAGATGAACTGCGTGAGTAGAAAATCCATGACTTTGGAAACAAGAAAATAAGGTTCAGCAAGTATTTTTGGAGTTGTACTCCAGCGCAAAAGTTGCTTGTGAGCAGAGTAGACAAATGGAAGGTGCTAGCGAATTCATGTGAACACGCGTGCTAGGGAGATGTCGGCGGGGTGGGGGGAAGCTAGAGGCACATGCACACCGTTCATGTGAAGCTCTCTGGTCTTCACAGAGGCTCAGATGCCATGGCTCTTTTTGCACAGGTATTTCACCTTCTCATTCATTTATGCATACTGCATCGCTTCAGAAGTCTGACAGGCTGCATATTCCAGGGGCCTTTGCTTATTCTCTCACTGATTCTAGTGAACCTCCTCTGGGGAACAGCAGCACACACACTGTGGTTGAAACAGCCCCCCCCAACTCCTTATGATTCTGATTTCCTTAAGTTGTAAAAATTGATGTGTGTGTAGGGTGTGTGTGTGTGTGTGTGTGTGTGTGTGTGTGTAGGGGTATGTATGTGTAGGGGTGTGTATTTCGTATTTCATAAAGTTGTTTTGCTTTTTTTTTTAAAAAAAAGCATCCTATTTATCTTTTAAGTTACTTGACTGGTGCTCTGCCTAGTATTTTTTTCATTAAGATATTAGGAAGCTAACAGACACCAACAAAAGATGTTTAAAGTACCATTGGCATGAATCAGTACCTTCCCCACTAACTGGCTGTCATAGTGTTTTGAGATTTGACACTTGCTTTGCCTCAGATATTAGAACAAACCTGTCTAAATAAATTCTAGAGCTGTCTTCTTGGTTGGTATACTATAGGACTTCATGCCAAATAGCCTGTGCACATGGCCTTTAATTTTCTGTTTTTAACCCCGTAGCTAGCATTTACTGACTGCATTTTTCTCTTTGAGAAAAGGGAGAGGGAATTACTCAACATTTAAATGATAACCTGAACAAATACTTCTTAGTGCTTCCTTGGTGGCTGACTTCTGTCACTGCCCCACCTTCTGGTGGATAAGAGTTCTTATGTGGTTCCTATATTATTTTTATTAAATAATTTAAGTATAATTTGTATTTCTATTCTCAAAATTTGTTTTGAATCACAAGGTATGGTTTCACAGACCTTTAATCCTAGCACTTAGGAAGCAGAGGCAGGTAGATGGATCTCTGTGAGTTGGAGGCTAACCTGATTATATAGCAAGTTCCAGGCCAGCTAGGGCTACAGGGGACTCCCGCCTCAAAAATGGTTTTAAATAAAACATAGTTCCAGCATCATCCAGATTTCGATCAACATTTGCCTTTGTTCCAGTCACATATAATTTACAAAGAATTTTGTGGAGACGAATGAAAATGTTGGTTGCTTAAGACCTAGATATAGCTTAGGTAGGCCTCTCTTAAGAGGGCTATGTCTTCTTTATTTGATGAGCATGCTTAAAAATAATTAAGTGAAAGTAAGTTATTATCAAATACAGCTGTCTTAAGAGGTACTTCCTAACAAAGTTAAAGCTAATGCCTTTCATCACTGAACAATTCAAATGGAATATTGTTCCGTGAATGTTTTTCTATATTCATTTTTTATAGATTTAAGCTGAAATGTTTTCATGTTATTTAGTGAATATCCTAAGTGAATAAGTGTTAAAAAAAAATCATAGCACCCTGTGTTCATCATTTTCTCCTCTCTCTTTAAGGCTCACTGAGGAGGCCCGGCGGCTCATTGCTGAACTGGGGAGTACTTCGATTACTAATCTTGGTTTTCGAGATAACTGGGTGTTCTGTGGTGGGAAGGGCATTAAGACAAAAAGCCCTTTTGAACAGGTTAGTGTCTAAGGCTTTGATGATTAATGGATGGGAGTAAATTGGTGAGACTTTCTGGTACAGCATTCCCCTCCCAGTTATTTGAGAATTATATTAAGCAAATACTGAATATGTCCAGATATTTTTCATAGTTTTTTTTAGTAATTACTTAAAACAGTCTTGGCATTTTTTTTTTTAATTTAAAAATTTCAAAATAAACTTAAATAAAAAACAAGACCTCATTCTCTCCAATGCATTGGAACAGGATTGGTCCTCTGCTTTTTACAGAGCATCAGGTATTAAGGGTTTCCATTGTACTTTGCATGCTAGAATCAGATAAATTTGGAAATATCTTAGAACTTAAATGGAATATGAACTTTACTTTTTGATTAACAATCCTTTAAAACTATCTGCAGTTTTTTGGTTTTTTTTTTTTTCTTTGCAACTGCTTCTTGAAGGTTTGCCACCTATATACCTTCCCCCAAGAGTCACTCATCCAGTATCTTGAGCTATAATTTTTGTGATCTCATTGTTGACAGGTATGTTACTAAAATAAAGTGAGTTAATGTTACTGCAAGTGAACAGATCACACAAGTATGTTAAACTCTACACTGTTTGTGTTCCAACAGCACATAAAGAACAATAAGGACACAAACAAATACGAAGGATGGCCTGAAGTTGTAGAGATGGAAGGATGCATCCCCCAGAAGCAAGACTGAAGGGGATGTGGAGAGACAGGAGGAAGTGCACTTTGTCTTTTAGGGAGAGCTGTAAAGCAGCAGCTCCGTGTACATATTTTAATGGCATGCTGCCGCCCAAGTGTGTGCATGAGCATTGCAGTCTCTGTTGATACCAGGATTATTTATTGCTAACGTAAATAGCTATCTTTGTAAATAGTCCTCATATTGAGCAAATCACTGAACCATTTTTAAGCACATTTCCCTAAAAGTACAGTGTTTCGACTGATATGGTAACGATATACTTTAATTCTAAAAGCATACTCTACGGATAACTGAGCAGGTTATATAAAACATTGATGTATAATGCTGGTTGCTGTGAAACTCTGTCATGGAATAATGTCGCTTTTAGGGAGTGGATTTTGTTCATATATGGGTGTGTCTATATAAATATCTGGGCTTGTGATGATCAGTATCCTTTAAACTAGAGAGATTTTTGGCTAGTTGTATATGTGGTATTTACCTTGCAGTCTGATCCTGATGTACCTCTTTTCATAATCTTTATTTCCCTTTCCTAAGAAATCAAGAAATAAAATGTTTCACATGAAAATTTACATGAGATTTGAAAAGCACAATAATTTTTAATAAACACAGTAAAAGTGAGTATATCAATGTAGGTGATATTCTTGGCCATATCCTTCTAGATTTGGTGTCAGCAATGTAAATTATGTGATTTGTCTAGGCTATTTAGAGTAAGTTTGGGTGTGGGACTCCATGGAACGGGGGAACCAGGTCAGGTCTCTTCCTCAAGCTCATCAGGCTGTTCAGGAAGCTGAGTTAGTGTATTTACAGCAATACAGGCATAGATCTTTATTTGTTGTCTTCATTGACCCTGTGGTTTTAGAAGAGGAATGCTATTAATATAATTTTGGTCTATAACCAAGAAATTCTATATTTACTTCTAACTTCATAATAGCAATTATTGCCTGAACTTGTAGTGTCATAGTTAGCAAAGTCTTAATTACTTTTTTAGGGCATTAAATACCTGTTGTATGTGAAGTATATTAAAATTATATATGAAATAACTTAAACTGGAACATAAACAAATGTAATGATCAAACTGCCTTTCGTAGGATAAGGCAACACTTAAATTTTGAACCTAAAATTTAGGTGGTTTGTTTAAAAACCGAAAAGCAGTATTTGTTATTTTGCTATAAGTTGAAAGCTCTTCAGATATTTCTTGAATATTACTGATTTTGGGGTACTGTTCCTTCCCTCAAACTGAATGTAACTCATAAAGAGATACACCTTCAGTGTTGAAACAAGTTTTGTAAACTTTTTTAGATTTCTGGTGCTTCTATATTAAATCACATCTAGCATGTATATTTTGACACTTAAAATACTTCCCTTTGGTTCTGTAAAACAATAGCCATCTTAACGAACAGTTCTAGGAGTTGGAAAATGAATATTGTAATTTTTTTAACAGTGAAAGTAAATACTTTTGGTTTTACATTATGAAAATTTTTTTATTTTATTTTTTGTATTTGGCAAAGTAACACATCCGTGGAAACACCACGTGAAGCATTTATTGTACTGGTTTACATGCAAAAAATCAAGTCATTCCATATGTATAGAGTTTAAGTTTCTTGATGGCAGGATAGCCCTTTGAATTTCAAGACTGAAAAGATGTTTTTTACAGTTGTGTGAGATGTCAGAGGGATAGACTTGCTATGGAACTGCTGTGATTTTCGTCTGAATTCTATTTTGTATAGCTTGTGCCAATTTGACTTTGGAAGCAATAATTTTACTACATTTTACTTTCAGATCTCTTTAAAATCAGCCTTCTAAGTAAAACACTGCTCATTTAATGTTGAGAATTTTCTTTAGTAAAATCAGAACTTTAACATTGACTTTTAGTAGTTTAAATGGTGTTTGAGGGCTTGTGAGTGTATAGTTTGTGATCATGGGAGCTTTCCCAGAACAGGTGTGTGAGGCAGACCTTAACATGGCAAAAGGAAGTTGAAAACAAATGATTATCTGGGAAATAAGAAAAATAAAGAAAACCTTTATATTTTCTTTTTAATTTGATTAAAGTTAAATTTATTGTGTTTTTCTGTATTTGTTTTTAAATAAATATTTTATAAGTTTATGATAAATAAAAACTCAATTCATTTAGCCTGTATTTTATATTTCAAAGGTCTATACAAATTACAGTTTGATTCCAAGATGACATATTGTTCATTGTTTTTAGTTGACCCTCTCTCCCAACCCCCCTTTGTCTTGCTCAGTAAGCCAAGCAATTACAAGTGTATTTGGGATACATTTTTTAAATGACTAAGAAAGGGGAAAATATTTGTTAATCAGGTGAATGACTTGCCATTAAACCAGTTATTGCCACCTTTTGGACTTCAACAAATACATGCAAATACGGAGCCGTAGAATATACGAGTGGATTGTACCTTTTCTAAAGCATTTTACAAATTCTCTTCCTGTCTCTTACCAGAATGACTTTCCTACCATAAACCTGGTTTTCGGTTGTTGCATGCCAATAGCTAGTCAATATCCACACTTTCAAAGCTCCCTCTTTTCTCCTCTTATTGTTATGTATTGAAATCTTTGTGCTTGAGGCACCAGTCAAATCAAGGGTTAGAAGGAATGAAAGGCAGGCCTGGCCAGAGAGAGGCAGTTGTTTGTCACTAGGCAATATTTAGGAGCATCAAAGGATGGGACGGAGCCTGGTCAATGCCCCTTGGCAAATCTAAGGCAGTCTTACTATGAGAACCTTTCTCCAGTCCAGAGAGGGTGGCATAGCATGGGAACAACTGAACTGAGGAAGTACTTCTGTAGTGTTCAGAGGAAAAAAGGAATTGGCCAGCCCTTGAGTTAGGTACGGCACTATTTCTCTTGGGTTTGTTTGATGAGTGTGTGGTTACTATGGGGAGAATTCCCAGTCCAGTGAGTTTATAGGTAAAGCTTTCTGCTTGCACTGAACTCACTGTTAGCTCCAAATCAGTTGTGCCATCCTAGAGTACACTGAGTGTGGCAAGAACAAGTTGAGGTTGGATTGATAAAGATGTTCCAGTTTATCAGGGAAAATTAGCTTACAATCCCACAAGCATATAACATGTTACAGAGTTGGCTTCTCTTTGCTTGATGGCCAGAAAGAGAAGGGCCTACAACCTCAAAGGCGTGGAATTTTGCACAGGAGAAAGTTTAGCATTTTCAGGTAACCGCCAATGCTTCTGAATGTCCACTGTTTATGGTGTGACTAGAGAGTCAATTTCCTCTCCTGGTAAACAGTGCCACTGTGTTTGTGGTATCAACCAAAGTGCCTAGCACAGAAGACTTAATAAACCCAGCTGCTGCTTTTACTGTTACTGGCCATGCTCTTGCAAAGTAGTAGACCTTTACAACCAGAAAAGTTAGCTAGTCTATATCTGTAGCTTACTAGTTCTGTCCTAGTCCACTGTTTACTCTGCAAACTAAACAGTGACATCATTAAAGGATGAGATACAGCAACGCTTGAGACTGTCCTTGATTTCCAAGCCCTTGACTTTCCTATTCTGTTCTTTTGTTATTCCTCAAGACTGCAAAGGCCCCTTCACGCTGCAGAATTCAAGCTTTCATGTTTGTCAGGCAGCATTTTACATGATCACAGAGGATTCCATTGCTGGGTTAGCCCATAGTGGGAAGTGTGAGGACCCCTACAGAGGAGCACAGACCTTGGTCCCTGGCTCCTAATAACTGTGTAGGGCAGTGTGAGGTAGTGATCAGAGCCAGGGAGACAATGGGGTTCAGGTTCAGTCTTACCAGAATTTGTCTTGCTTAGAAGACCTGTGAAGAAGATTCTTTCCCACCATTAAGATTGTCTAGGCAAAGGAGGAATCCTAAATGGGAATTTTGAAATTATTATTGCTAACATCTGCTTTCTGGGACTTCCAAATACATTTTCTATGATGTGTTAACATTCAATTCATATCAGGCCGCAGATGATGGCGTTACTGCTTGGATGTCGCCTGATACGACGAACATAATCTAGGGACCAGTGAATTCCCTGCCAAGTTTTGGCTTTCTAAAGATGGCCAGTTGCAAGTCTACTGCTAAACAGAAGTGCTCTCTTCTGTAAGCATGTCCCTCCAAGCAAATGAGAGGAATGCTTACCCCTAGGACTTGGGTTTTAACTAAGAATCCAATGTGAGCCTGGGACATGGTCTTAATTTAAAACTAAATGTCATCTTTTGCATTTTAATTTATATGAAATGCTGATATCAGCCTGGAAATCTTTGAATAATTTTCAGTTTCAGTTCTAAAACCATTGGAAAATACTCAGTTGATGAGTGTCCTCATACCTAAGTATGAGGAATGAGCTTTGGGACCCTGCTCTAGAGATAAGTGAATGAGCTTGTTCTTAGACAACTCCAGAAATATGACACTTTTGACCAAAATGAGGTTGAAAGCCAGCAGAACGGTTGATCTAGTACTTTATAAGGTAGTGTCAAGATTCCATTTCTTGAGCAGGTTCCCTATGATTCTGAACCCCAGGTTGTGTGGGATATGGGGTGCAGTAGAGATGCAGCAGCTTTGGCAACTAGAAATTTGAGATCCCCATATTTAGTCAATAAATTTTAAAGTATAGTTTCATGAAAAGTAACATGTTGGGTATTTGAAGAGAGAAAAAGTCTTCAAGCTAGCAAAAGAATTTCTTAATGAAATTTGGCTTAGTAAAATTATCCCATCATTAAATAGGAGACATGTCATAGAGGATGTATCTCATTGAGTTCTTTTTTTCCAGTTTTGCTCTCTTACTGTATGCAATTTCCTGCCCAAAGAGCCTGAGAGGAGCAAAAACTAGTTTACTGGGGAGTTTAATGCAAAGGAGCAACAGTGGGTAGGACTAATGAAGAGGAAAGATTATGTACTAGGAAAAAGACCATTGGCTCAGTTTGTGTATCAACTTTGCTTAGCTTAGAGTTTGAGTTGTATTGAAATGTGCAGCTAAATGTAGTGATCATCTTTCATCAGAAGAGTCAACAGGGACACAGGCTTGCCCTTGCTTGTTGGATATCCAGGACTAGTTAGATATGGATTGTGACCACAACTCTGGTTATTGTGAAGATATATCTTGGCCTCTGTGGAGGTGACTCACCTCCAGTTTTAGACTGGCCATTTGGCAGGGAACAGGCAGACCTTTATTCCCTGTATGTTCTATCTTTCTAATTCTTACACACAGGTCAGATGCTTCTACTTGTTCTCAGCAGAAAGTCACACATGATCTTGAGGAAACTGAGTCTTACAGACTCCTGGGACCTTGTTCAGAAGAACTTAGAAAAAAAAAAAAAAAACAGCATAGAACTGGGGAAATGGGCAGCAGGCCCCAATCTTAGCTGAAAAACTGTTGCCAGCCAACGACTCCTAGGTGAGGGAGAATTGATCATTAAGGGAGAGAATCCAAATAGGCTGACTAGACCCCAATGAATGAACTTACAGTGAGGGGTGTCTGGGTACACTAACTTGACTCAATAGGCCTTAATATACATGACAATACATGAAATCTGGCATGTGGGAAGGGCTACAGAAGGATGTTGATGGGGGAGGGAGTGTAAAGATGATTAAGATGTTTTGTATTGAAATGCACAAAATTCGAATAAAAATAGACTTTTTAAAAAGTCACACATGAACCTTTAGTATTGACTTGATCCATCTACATTTGTTACTGTTACTACACTTGGGGCTGTTTCTAGCATGACTTTTTTTTTCCTAAAGTTTAACCTGATGCAAACCTCAATCTGGTAGTTTTTCTTTGGATGTGAAGACAAACTATTACAAATGGTAAATTTTATCCATCTATTTAAAAGACTGCCTTATATGCCAATTAGCTGTAAGTACATAATAAGAAAGATGTATTTTATGCTGACTTAAATCAGTTGATTGTTTACTCAGATCATTTCTGTTTTGGAGATTGTTAGATTCTTATAAAATCCAACTGTTAGCCCCATTGGAATCAAAAGTAGAAGCCAGCTTCAATCATTTTGAGCTTAGCCATCAAGAAGCAGCATGCTTTACATTTTATGCTGCATCTCAGTTCTTAATTCTCTCATCTTTTCCCTGCTCCCCAGCCAAGTTTATTAACCAAACCCTGAGGAGACATCATACATTTTCATTTTATTTACAAATCCCCTTACGTCTTTAAATGGTGTACTGTAAACCTAGCCCGCTGACAGTTTTAGTAGTTGAGAAGCACAGTAACAATGTGACTGTTGGTCCAGAGCTAGAGCTGATCCATGGCTACTTGACTGACAGTTACTGTGTATACTCTCCTCATCTGAGAAATGGAGCCACAGTAATGATGGCTACCTTACGGGGTTGACCCCTTTCATGCTGTTGCCCAACCCTTCTCTTAGGGTCCCTTGCTCCTGGCGCTATTAGACAAACCATATAACACATCTTTATCTGAATTTTTCATAGTTTATATCCTGGGTAGGGGAAAAAGAGTAACTTACAAAGGTGTACACCCAGCGCCCCACAAAAAGTGACTATCTGGGGCCCCGATTCACTCTGTGGCTCAGCAACCCCGCTTCCAGATCGCTTCCATGCCCACCCACAGTCTCTGTTAGCTTTCACCCTTGCCTGGACTCATGGTCCATCCGAGGTCAGTAAATGCCCCCTCTCGCATCCACACCTGCGAGACACTGGGCCATTTTTCCTGTTTTGCTGCTCAAGACGGCGCCAACGCTTATCCCTTTGCAGGTAACTCCCCGCAGCCAATTCTCTGAGGCAGGCCCCGCCCCTCGGAGGAACAAGTACCCCTCGGGACACACGTGCTGTGAGAACATGCAGCCTTTCTTTTTCTCCTCCAAGAAATGTTAGAACATTTCTTGGAGCTGGGCATGGTGGAGCGGGCCTTAATCCCAATATTGGGATGGCAGAGGCAGGTGGACCTCTGAGTTTGAGGACAGCCTGGTCTACATAGAGGGGTTTAGACAGGGTTACATAGACTCAAAAAGCGAAAACAACCCCCCCCCCTGTCAAAATCACTGCTCTGTAATAAAATTGAAATTAAAAAGAAAGAACCAGTAAAACTCATCAGTTTTCCTTAGAAAAGCTTGTCTTGGGGACAGTTTGGGGTTCTTGGAGAAGGAATTTGTATTTTTCTTCTCATACCAGCTTTGCAGATCACAAGGCTCTGAATAAGGAACTGGCTCTAAATGGTGGCTTATTTCCCAGTCTTTGAAGACTAAGGGAGGTGGTACAAAAACTACCTGCAACTCACCAAAGGGCCTGCAATTCAGTATTTTGATGAAAAGCTTTTCAGCTTCCACAGTTTAAACAAAGTAAAACCAAAGAACATATCAGTACTAAAAGTACTTTAGAAAATCAAAGAGTTTCAAAATGATTTACTATGACTATCTCATGGTTCCAAAGCTGTAAAAGCTTATAAAGTTGTAGCATCTAAACATGTATAATGAAAGTGCTCTTGTTATTTTTGGTATAACTTTCAGTTCCTTAAACTATAGGACAAAATAGCTGCCCAAATTGGGAATAGGGAAATACTGTAGTTGTTTATATCCAGAAGAATGAATAGGTTGTGTAGAATACAGTTATCAGAAAAAATGCTTGCCATATTTCTCCAGGGGTTAGATATAATATTTTTTAAAGATTTCTTTATTTGTAGTTTATGTGTATAAGTGTTTTGCCTACATGTATTTATATGTACCATGTGCATGCAGTGCCCATGGAGGTCAGAAGAGGGCGCTGGATCCCTTGGAACTAGAGTTACAAACAGTTGTCAGCCCCCAGGTAGGTGCCGGGAACTGAACCTTGGTCCTCTGCAAGAGCAGCAAGTGCCCTTAACTGCTGAGCCATCTCTCCAGCTTCCAATAATGACATTATTTAATACATTTTTCCTTCATTTTATTTTAAGATGAAGCATGGCATCTTAATACAATTTCACATTAACAGTGAAAAAAAAAAAAGTTGAACTCCTAAGTTGAAAAATAATTCATTAGAGCACTTAAACACATGTAGGTACTTTGTGCCCACACACAAAATCTACTGTGCTTTGCTTGATTTGTCTGGCCCTGAGTTCTATGTGATGCCAGATGCCATCTAAAGTCATCACAAGAACTGTGATGTAATGTCCTGTTGACCACATTCAAGTACCCTTTCCTGGTAATATAACTCTGGATTTCCTCTACACGTTGACCCCTGTATTCTCAAAGTGTATAGTTTTGTTGGAGTGAAACCCTCTGCCAGTGCCCAACAAGGGCCAAAATTGTTGAAAGAGTATCTCTGTTGCCCACCCTAACTCCCAGTGGTCATTGTGATTGGTTCAGAGATTGGCACATTTAAAAGCCAATAAATGCTAATGTCCACTATGAAATCTTTGCTAGGTCTTCTGGGAAGGAATAATTTTTCTCTTTTCTGGCTACACAGCAAGTGGAAAAGAATCTTTGTTTTTCCTTAGGATGTGAGGTCTGGAAATGTGACAGCTATGTTGCTAAGAGAGACAGAGATGGAGACGCTTAGGGTGGTGAGGATTTGAAGGGCACAGCATGTTATAGAGCCATGTTTTAGACAATGCCAGAAGTCAGTCTAAAGTGGAGAGACCCAAGCCTAAGGAACATGGTGTGCACTTACTGATCAAGCTTCCTGGGATCCAGGGAAAATTCTAAAATGTACAATTTCTGAGTCAGTATATTTAAATCAGTCTGGATTGAGTTGTCTGTTACTTGCCAAATAAAGATCTCTAATACAGCCTGGACTGGATAGGAGTCTTTGTCATTAGAATTGTCCACTCTGAGAGCTCCATGGCACTACCTCTATGATGACTGGAAGTGAGGAGGAAATGGGCCAAAGCCAGGCTGACAGCCAGAAAGACCAATGGGGAGAAACTCGAGGACCACTTCAGGGTGGTGCCAAGGATAAGGCAAGGAAGAATTCAAAGACAGCTTGGAAGTGAGGAGTTCTTGCTCGACATCCTAGAGAGAAGAGTCCGAGTAAGCACTGAGTTGTTTTTTGTTTTTAATTTTTTATTTTTATTTTATGTGTATGCGTGTATTGCCTGCATGTAGGTAAGTGCACCCAGTTCATGCAATGCCTGCAGAGGACAGAAGAGACTGTCGGATCCCCTGGAACTGGAGTTATGGATAGTTACTAACTGCCATGTGGGTGTTGGGATTCGAACCCGGTTCTTCTGCAAGAACATCCAGTGTTCTTAATGGCTGAGCCATCTCTTCAGCCACAGCACTGAGTTTTTAAAGCTGTGGCTGAAGGGAAACCAGCTATTTGTCCGTCAGAGGCTATCTGATTCTCAAAGTCAGTTGATAAGATGATATATGAATAGTTCTAATTAGTAGAGGATTTGTAGTTAGTGGACACTGTAGTCTTTCTCTTTTAAAAAGTGATTTTCAATGCATATAAAATAGAAGTACTTTTCAAAAAGAGCCTGAGCGTGCCCTAGCCCAAAGTTACCCTAGCAGAGAATAACAAAGAATGGGAAAACCACTCTTTTAAATAAATAAATGCTATATTTGTTCGTTTGCCATTTCCAAGTCTCTCATTTCGTAAATAATAACTTTAAGGGTCATAGTTAAATATTCCGTCTTGATTTTAACATTAGAACTGATATTTCCCATGTATTTGCTCCCCTACCACACAAATTATTGCTCAGTGTTAGGAAAAAATGGAAATAGAGAACTTTGGGAAATACTAATAAGAAAAAGAATATACTTTTTGTCCATTCTGAACTTAGAAAAACTATTCTTTTCCATACAGTTCTAAAGTATTTAACAATGCATCAAAGCATAAGCAGGACAGAACACACAACATTCAAACAGAAAGGCAACATTGCATAAAGTATAATAAATATTCAGGGTATCAAATCCACAAACTGATCAGTATCCTGGTTTAGATTATTTTTCCCAGTTAAGACTTTTACTATGAAATTTATTACAATGACCTTATGAGTTAAATAAGGAAAAGGAGAAAAGAGAATTTAATTACTCTGGCTACTGAAACAGCGCAATCCTCAATATTTTGTAATGTAATTTGTAGCATATAAAACTGTCATTTTAGCAAGAAATACACATCCAGGGTAGGGAGTGGTGGTGCACACCTTTAATCCCAGCACTCAGGAGGCAGAGGCAGGTGGGTCTCTGAGTTTGAGGCCAGTCTGGTCTATACAGTGAGACCCTGTCTCAAAAACAGAAAAAAAGGGGGGGGGGGATACTCGTTCATGTTGCTAATTGCTCTATTACCTTATTTTTCAAATGTTAAAAAAGTCAGAATAGTACAAAAAAAGAGGGTGTTCCCATTTTTTAAGATACCCTTATTCTTTCAAGCTTTGGTAATATATGTCTTAATTCTTAATATGGGTTACATAAATACTGTATTTACAAAATATAAATTTTTTTTTGCAAAATACTACACAGAACACTGTCTTTACATATTTAAAGGGTGTTTTATCTTTTACCCCCACTTTTGTCACCTTTTCAGGGTCTCACCCCCAGTATATCAGAGCTGAGTTTTTAACAGTGAAAAATGGTCTATAATAAAAGGATAACTCCAAAGATCCAAATTAGTATAAACTTTATAGAGTTTTTTTTTTTTTTTTTTTTAGACAAATTCTTTTGGTTAAAGGCACTTAAAATCTGATACAAATTGTTTCACATTCTACATTGATTTTTTTTTGTCTATTGCTTAGCATCTACTTTGGGATATTCGTCTCTTATAACGATTCTCTTCAATGGCTCTTCTTTTGAAGTGCATTTGAAAGAGTAAGCATCCACCACTTGGTTAATTTTCAGCATCATCTGTCTATGCACAAACAGTACAATTAAATACCAAGAACAAATGCAATTCATGTTACAGCTCCTTGCTCCCATAAGGTGTCTTTAAAAAAATGACCAATGTTCACCCACCAAGATCGATTTTTATAACTCTTCTTTAGTCGAGGATCTTATCCTGAGTGAGGACGAAGTCTCCAGGATAAGAGCTCTTTCTAGCTTAGGAAGCAAGACTTATTTTTCTTGTATACCAATATATATTTCCCAAACCACCCAAAGGTGACTTTTCAACTTTAAAATCCCAAGCAATCTGCATAATCGACGTGTGATGGGATATCAGTCAGGAAAAAGAAACCTCAGAGACTCAAGGATCCGGGAATTCCATTGCCAGCAGCAACTTCTCCAGCCTTGCACAGTGAGGGGCACCTTCCAGATTGTAATAGGGCTGGGTGCTGCTGCGGAATCTCGTGTGAGGCTAGATGGGGTTACTTACAAGTATGGACATCGGTCATGCTTTCACAGCTCCTGCAGCGAACGTAGCAGCACCAGATAAACTTACACTCACACCTCTCCACGTGTCTGACCACATGGGTGTTGTAGCCACGGCCACAGCAGAGGAGGTTGCACCCGTCTGCGCCTCCTGATGTGCGGTTGCACTCTCTGCCTTGTGTCCCTGGGATACCCAGTTTTTTGTCCTCCATACAGTAGTTGGGAGACTTATGAACATACAGTAGGTCATCCTTGCGGATGGGTGTCTTCCTCTGATCTTTTTCTCTCCTGCGCACTTTCCTCTTGGTTTTGTCCGATATCTGGATGCTGTTTTCATATTTATCTTTTAAAAAATGGCCAATCTTTTCAAAAGAAGACATGGTTTTCCAGCAGGTTTTCACGGCACAAGAGCCCGAAACCCCATGGCAGCGGCAGTCCACCGACATCAACTTGGCTACAGCCTGAAACCAAAAGTGATTGTGTTCAACAGTTATTCATGTAGTGTTATATTCAGCAATGGAAACAGTTTCCAGCCACCTAAGCTTCTGAGTCTATTCCTTCCTGTATAAAAATGATTTGAACATAAAAGATCTTTAAGGTTGTCTAGACTTCAAATGTTTTATCCTTTATTTGTGTCTAAATGTTTTGAGCCTACAGAGAAAACCTCTCCAAGTTGCATTTAAAATAGAGGAGTAAAGGAGGTGGAGGTGTGTGGGTGTTTGGGTTGGGGGAGGGGCTGAGATGGCTCAGTCGGTAAAGGTGTGGTAAAGCTGCTGGCAGCCAAGCCTGACCACTTGAGTTTGATCCCTGGGACCCACTTGATAGAAGGAAAGACCCCCACTGCTCCAAGTTGTCCTCTGATCTTCCCATGTGCACATGACAAACACATACCGTCCCACAATGTGAAAAAAAAAGTAAAATAAAATACTTCTACTACTTATCAGATATGATCAGAATTCTCTTAGAGAAATTATTTCTAACACCTCATTGAATTTGGGGTGAGGAAGGATACTTGCTCTGGCCTGCATGCTCCTAATCCCACTTAACATCTTGCTACCCAGAGTACAGTTCATGAATGAGCAGCTCCAACATCACTTGTAAGAAATGCAGACACCCAGGTCCCAGGTACAGAATCAGAAGCTCATTTTTAATCAGACCCCTAGGTGATTCTTATGCAAAGCACCAACAGAGCCGATGCCTTCAACTCTGCAGTACATAGAACATCTATAGAACTTTCCAAATAACCAATGCACCAACACTTGAGATCAGATTGATTTGACTGGCTGGAGTGAGTTACTCTCATTTTAATGGCACCTGGTGATGACACTGGATGATTCCATTGAAACTTCTGAGGTTTATTCACTACAGAAGTCCCTGACATCAGAGGGTATATATGGGTAGGGAGAACATGCTCTCCCTTGGCCACAGACCACATGAGAAACCCTGACTAATCAAGTTAGATTTCCCAAAAGGAGGAGAGTGTGGGCGCTCCTGAAAAGTTCTTCCTCTTTTCTGAAAGATTAATTGAAGACATATGCCCTATCATTGATGAATAAACAGCAATATGCTAACACAGAAAATAAAAAGAATGATATGCTTCTAATCCCAAGACTTGGGAGGCTGAGGCAGGAGGATTACTGTGAGCTTGAGGTTAGTTTAGCAACATAGTAAGCTCCACACCAGCTTACACTTTACAGAGCGAAATCTCGTCTGAGCAAAAGGAAAAGAGGACCATGTGTGTATAATTTTAAATTCATTTGTAAGTGCTGAGTTCAGTTTATACAAACTGAAGAACTAATGAGCACACACACACACACACACACACGCACACACACATATGTAATAGCACATTGCCTGGGGTACATTAAGTTCTAAATGCTTCTTTCTTTGACAAAGTTGGAGTAAGAGTTTCTTTTAATGAGCCTAACAATTCAAAACAATCTACAGATTTCAAAAGTTTTAGGGCTCTAACCTCTTACATACCAACATCGCTTCCTGTGGTCCCCAGACAATGGCAGGGTAGATTAATAAATCGTAAGGACTAGTTGTAGAGCTGACATTCTGTCAACATGCTGGGAAAAATGAAAAATGAATCCATCCATTCACTGACTTAAAAATTATATATTTAATCTCACAAAAGAAAGGAAAAAAAAAAAACAGCTTAAATGCCACTTACAGTTCTTATCAAAACTACAGAAACTACCAAGGCTTTCTTTGCCATTTAATAATAAACTCAGCATTGATATATCTGCAGAATGGTGTATTCTAACAAGTTAACATTTTCTGAACAGTCTAACCACAGAATATTTTAAACAGGTCATATTTATTTTCCGTCTTGAATGGGAGCATATGATATTGATCTGAACAATTCTGATACTTCTCAGTACCATTTAACACAATAGCAAACTATTCAAACTTTGTACTTTCTAGAATATAATACATACTCTTTAAATTCATAAAACTTAGGAATTAATAAATGCATCAACTTCTTTATAACACAGGGCAAAAGTATCTGACAGTGATACAAGAACAATTTATTGTTTAAAGTATGGTACACAGATAATTTGATTTAATTTTTGGCATTTAGATATTCACAAAGTCTTTAACTCTTTAAGAGGTTTGTAGGCAACCCTTCTACCTTTGTTCATATTTTGAGTGCCTGGAGGATTTGAGAAAGAAGAGCTCAATCAGTGCTAAGTAATAAAACAATTTTTTTTCTCCAAGAAACTGTCCCCATACCTAAGCGTGTGTGTGTGTGTGTGTGTGTGTGTATGTGTGTGTGTGTGTGTGTGTGTGTGTGTGTGTGTGGTGTGGTGTGCACGTTTAAATTGGACCAAAGTTCCTTATAGCCATTACTTGGTGATTTAAAGCTGCCCACCTTCAAACCATGACTGAAGGGCAGACCTTTTCTTTCACTAGCTGTTTCAGACATGGGCATTGTCAATTTGCAAAGCATGAAGGACAGAGTGGATGCTCATCAAATTCTTATTGAACACAGTCCTGCTCCCTCAACAGGGTTTAACTCATCTTCAGTTGCTAACCTTATGAGAAGTAGCAAAAATCATTTTCATTCAGAAAAGTCACTGCTAGAGGTCAGTGGTGCTAGAAGACCCTGAGCCAACCAATTCTATCATAACCCTGTTCAAAACCGTGTGAGTCCACAAAGGTGACACATTGCTTCACCAGTTGAAAGGAGATGAGACTTGCATATTCAATTTTGTCACCTACTCAATTTAGATTTGGATTTTGAAGGATTTTTACCTACTCTAGAAAAACAGCCCTTTAAAAATACCCAGAGTCTATAATTTTCCAGGATTACATTAAAAAAAATTTTAGCCCTATTGTTTTTAACAAAAGTGGAAGAAAACATTATTTTTATCATGTATGTGAGCTGCATTATTTATCTATCCTAGAATCTACATGTATAAATGAACTTCAAGGCAAAGCATCCCAGTAATCTCACATACAAGTGGAATAACTATATCGCCATAATACTATAAGGCTAGAGTTAGGGATTAAGAGAAATACGATCAGAGAAATTTATGAAATGCAGAATTTGAGGGAACACACACACACACATACACATGAGAGATTAAATTTACAGACTCTAATGTTGCTTAGAATACATTTTCATAAATCCTGTACTTGGTTTAGTTTTATAGGAAGCAATGCTTTTCACCTAATATGCAGTTAATGAACAGGTACTTGGTTGTGATTCCAATTTTATAGAAAAATAAACACATGGTTAAGAAACTTGTCTTACATAATTTGGTGATATATGATATAACGTCTTTCTGCTCAGCAAGATAATGTTAGAAAAAACAGAAAAATGAAAGTGAGAAATACAAGTATATCTAAGGAAATTGCATGAATACTTTCAAAACTGTACATTCTGCCTCTTTTATACTAGGGCTCTTAATGAATGTTATAGTGATTCAGAGCTGCAATGAGAGTTCCGCCGTTTTCTGTTAACAGGAAAAAATAGCAACTGGATTGTGTGTGGTTATAAGAAAATTTCTTTCTCTTCTCTAGTTGAGTTGTTAAGGTTTATAACGATATTAACAGAGGAATGTTTTGTTAACTATTGCAAACAGATGTGCTCATTTTGGCAGAATATTATAAAACTACGGGCAAGCAATTAGGAGGCGCATAGAATCTGTTGAGCCTCTCATGGAGGTTTGGATTCGATGAATTTTAAATGAAGTGAAATAATAGGAAGGATGTATCATTGGTACTTAATGTAAAAATAGAAACCATTTAAGAAGTGGTTTAAGGACTGATTGTCCCACAGTATTGACTCAGAGGTATCACAATGGGTGGAGATTGTTTTCCATGTATTACTTTATCCAAATGTATCAGGAATTGCCAGAAAACTGTTATGGGACATTCTGTAACCAACATTTCATTTTCAACTATCAAAGGATCTATTTACGTTATGAAATCTGCGACTTAAAGTTGAATGGGTATGTATAGGATTACTCTTCCTTTGACCCATATTATCCCTTTCTATTCCAAAATATATTTGAACCTGCTAAAAAACAAAATATGGTTGTGTTGTTTGACTACTTATAAATACGCTTGAAACAGGTCAATGAAAATTTGGGGTCTGCCCATCCCACTTTGTTAAGTTACTCATCATAAAACAAATTATGGGGTAGGAAACTTAAAAGTTTATGAGGTAGACATGGTAAGAATGGAAATATTTTAAGCACACCAAAAGAAATACCCATAAATATTCCAAGTCACATTATTCCCAGAAGTTCTGCCCTGGAAGACATCACATCATTCTCTTAGCCAATCACCATCAGGCAACATTATTCTTGGAGTCATAACTTTAGGAATGGTGTCAGAAACCAAGTGGGAATCAGAGTATTTAAGGTCAGCGGTTAGAAAATCATCTATCCTGCTCATTCTGCTACTAAGCGCCAGTACCCACATTTCTCTGAACACTTTCCTACATTTTGAGTTTGGGATTTACAGACTAGAAAAATCAACTCAATTGAATGCAAGACTTTAAACTTTACTCACAAATATGCCTAACAGATTAAAATCATAATTGCCAATATTGAAAATTGAGTCAGTTGCTTGTTCATGTTAGAGAAACTTGTTTTTTGTTTACCTAGGGTTTTTTTTTTTTTTTTAG